TATATTAGTATTAGCTAAATCATTATAAAACTTTCTGCAATATAAAGAAAGGCCATCATCCCCTCTTCTAAAACTTTGGCAACTATTTATTTGCAATGTGATTAACATGATTTTTTTCAACTTTGTAAACATGCCAAAAGAAAGAAAATAATCTCCTTTTGCTATACTACTCAATAATGTTCTTTGAAAAAATGGGTCTTAAAATCTTTTTGTGCCTCCTTGTTCGACATAAAAGTTTATGTCAGAACTATTCACTTTATTTGATGGATGTGTTTATGATATTTGTGTTTGCACATAATTTAGTTTGATATAGGTTATTTTGGGCCTTGTTACAACTCTGTAAACACACATTTCATGTGAATTGAAACAACAGCATATTTCAGTGTTATTATATTCAATAATAATCTTTAAGATGGCACTTGAAATCTTTATGTGGCTTCTAGTTCTAGATAATAATTTAAGTCAGAACTATTTGATGGATATTGTTCTTGAGGTCATAAATTAAAATCAGCAGCTCAAAAAACCATCTATGAAATGTTATTTTTAGCCAAGTTTTAAATATGATATACAGTCCAGATAGTTGAGTATTGTAGTTTTTTTGTAAAATTGCAATAAAATATTTTTGTTTTGTATTTGGCCATGGAAAAAACAACTGCTTTATTATCAAGTGCGTTCCATATTGATCATACTTTATGATTCAACTGAGGTAGACTAGTTTTCACTTCAATGAGATGGCGTTTCATGCAAATAATTTGGTCAAGATGTTCTGTTACATGAAGTAAACTTCTTTTAGTATGCAAATTAAATCTATAGTTCAGCATTCAGCTTGGTAAAGTAAATGTACAGTGGGAAGTTTACCCACAACTTGGTTTGAAAATGAAATCACAACAAAATAAATTATAATGCTATGTAATCAGAGATACATGTGTCTTGAATAATTTCCCCCGGTACAACCTTGAAAATAAATTCTTAACTTTATTAGTTGATCAGGATCTGATTAAATAAAATATACCCACCTCCTCAGTGTTAGATTTTTCATATAAATGATACCCAGATACAAGACCAATACCGGCCTGCGATGATTCTTCTGTGAGAAATATCTTCTCTAAATGATGAAAAGTGACATCGCCCCAACGACTGCAAATGTGATTCAGATGTTTCTTATTCATGTCATCTATGAATTAAAGGGAGAGGGTCGTCACCTGCGCATGTGCGGGAATTGAGTCCCAAGCGACATAACAACACACGACTATTTGTCACACGCAATGTAATATTACCGTAATTGGTATAGTACAGGTGTGATGGTTCAAATACCAAAATGGCAACAGTAACAGAAAGACTTCCCTGGCGGCGATGATAAAATACGAACACGGAGCCAACAGATGAGGTTTCAACTGGTACTGGTATTATTATACTCTGCAAACATCAAGTACAATAACGTGGTAAAAATTTACTACTCCAATAACTAGATACTTAAACTCCAATACAATTCAACGAGATCTCCGATCTGATCTCTGTGCTGAACAACTCCCCTATATATACCCCCACTGTCTATAAATAGACCATTACATCAGCATACATAATGAGTCTGGAACTTACTACCAATTTCTAGAATGTTCCATTACTTTCTATTGCCTTCTACAGTGTCCTATTACCTATTCAATCAACATCTAAAAATTACACCCAGACACAGTACGGTTCTAGAACATTCTCAGTGACACGGAAGTGGTAAACAAGTCGTATGCGACACTATTGCATTGTTCACAATCACTTATATACCAAGCCTTATGCAAATGCAATAATTAATATGCATAGATTCGAACTCCAAACTAAGTAAGTCTGTGTATTGTTCATGGGCATATATGTAACAAGTTTCATTTCATTCTTTAAAAAATTCAGTGGAATCCGAAAAGTGAATTATTAAGCAAATTAAGTACACCCGTAATTATGTATATAAATCCAAATCTAATTACTAGTAGATTGTTGCATTGTCTTAAAGTATTTATGTACTAAGCATCTTTGCAATAAGATAAGTACTTGAAATATTGATGGAAAATCTGAAAACTGACTAATTATTATGCAAATCAGATAAATAATATGCACTAATTTTAATGTGAAACTTATAAGGTCTGCTCAATGTCACAGACTTTCTATGCAACAAGTTTCAATGAAATGTGATTAGTACTTGAAATATCGATGGAAAAGCCGAAAAATTATGAATTATAATGCAAATTAGGTTACTCATATGAACAGATTTAAACCAAAGCTAAAGAGGTCCCATTGTCCTTGAGCATCTACCGATTAGTACTTGATATAACAGTGGA